CAAATCACGTATGTAGAAACAAAATTGTCAATAAATAAAATTAGATTTGCCCTCTTAAGAAATCATGTCGCATCGAAAGAATTTTTTAGAGCGCCTCAGTCAACAACGAATAGTCATTAACGATTACAGTTGGGATCTCTTTAAGGACAATTACTTTGAATGTTGACTGCAAAGAGAGTTAAGTTCATAAAAAAGTATATTTTCACGATAAATCAAGATACATTGCTATACCAACTTAAACTTTGAATTAAATTAAATTAAGAAACTGTTTAAATAGAAAATTATATATAATGTATATCACTGATATTTGTATAAACTCTGTTAGTCACATAACGCAAAATAAATTTAATTTATAAAATAGAAGATAATCCACAAAATTTTGGATATACACAATTAAACATAATATTTTAAAATTAATTTTCATTAAAACATCAAAATTAAAAATATTATTTCTTGTATCTATATATATATATAATATATATGTATATAAACAACTCAATAATTTTAATTTTGGCAAAAGAATAACTCGTCGATTCGAGTCTAGCTACCCTCTTGGCAGGCGATTGTACATGCGTAAGTTCAAGAAGATTCTGCATCAAGGAACATAAAAAGACCTCTTCTACATAAAAGTAGACAGGTATAAGTAAATAGTCACTCTTAAATATAGATACTTGTATGTATAATACATACGCAGTCTTGTGAAAATCGATGTACTCCAAGTTCTGTCTTTCAAATGAAATTCTCTGAGATGAAGTATGATGGAGTATTTGATGCTTATGCAATCAAATTACGTGACTACACACGCGAGCCATGCAGCCATTATCCATAAATGTGTTCGGGGAATCCTAATCCCTTAGCAATAGAAACTTGATCAAGTCGAAAGAAAATAATATGCAAATTTATTTTCATGTATATTACAATTTTACTATGCTTAAATTATTATAACATGACTTATCAATCATTAATCTATGAATATTTATAAAAAGTTTGACAGAGTTTAACAAAATTTTCAGAAAGAAAGGATATCTACATATGTAGATAAATCAATTCTTAATATCAAATTATATTGATTATTTTTAAAAACAATCAATATAATTAATTATAAGATACAAAACATTGATAATAAAATTAAAATGTAATGTATATTTATACTTAAATAAACTGTTAAAATTTTTTAATAATAATTTAATTTTTTATAAAATTTTGTTTACTTGTGCCTAATAGCATAAAACAAAACTATTTTTCTCGAAACATTATATGCAAAATATGAAAATATTTAATAGTTTTTCTATTTAAAACAAATAAACATAGAATAAAAAATAAATATAAAATCTCTTATTATATAAAAACTTGGCAAATAAGAATCTGAGATTTGGGAAACGTTGTAGTGTAGTAAATCAATCATCTGATACAACACTTTATATAAATAAATAAAGCATTTTCTCTCAAGAGAAAAGAAAATACATAAATAACAATAGGAATATATCTTTCTACTTACGACGTGCAATAATTATGTTCCGAGACTTTAGTTTAAATCGAATTTATCGTAAATAAAATGTAGTAATCATAAAAAAAATCATTAATAAAATATAGTAATCATATATATAGTACTAATCTATTGCTCCTCTTTTTCTTTTAGTAATGATATTTGTACTATTAACTATAACTGAATATGAATAATTATAACAAGGTTATATGAAAAAGTAATACTCATTTCCATTAATGTAGATTAATTTTAATTTCAATTCAAGTTGCTCTTTTAATTAACTTTTTCTAATTAGTACCATACTGGTCATAAATGCGATAATTCATAAGTTGAAGTAGTCATAAAAGGGATGTAATATATATAAACACAATAATAATATAGAACAATTTAAAAAACAACAATTTAAAAAATTATACAGGCAATTTACTTCTATTTGATTTAAAAATAAAACTATATTAATTCTTATCTTGAATTAAATTAAAAATGTTTCTCATCACATATCTCAGTCAATCCATAGATCGTTAGAATTGTCTTCTTCTGGACTCATCGATTTTCACGAAGTTGCATCAGAAATATCGCGAAATAGATAGGAAAGAGTCGCTTGTTCTATCCGAACAGGGCTTTGAATAACAAGTTGCTTGCTTAGTAAGTGAATGAAAAACCCATACGGCTCATTCTGTGCTGTGAGTGGTGAGAGTGTTTCGCACCTTGCGAGGCGTTCGGTGAGTGGGCCCTCAAGGATGCCATCGAGGGTTGCCTGGATGGAGCTCGTACACTCGCTCTCGAGCCGCGTCTCTCCTGAGTGTGCAAAAGTTTGTTCTCTCTCAGTAGTGAGACGTTCATCAATCGCGCATTGGGTGTATTAAAGATAGTGCGGTTCTCTCGCCAGCGAGCCCTGCAATTTCACATCGTGTCACATAGTTAATAGATCGACTATTCATAAGGTAGATACTTTTTTCGACTTGTCAATAATTCAATTATTTTCGCATGGCAAAGCTTTTATAATATACAGTAGAGATATACTATTATACGTGCGATTCTTGAAATGTTTTAATTGTAATTTAAAATGTTCTTACCTCGTTACAAACATAAGGTCTGTTTTTTTATTGCTGCAGTCTAAATCAATAAGTTGAAGTGAAATAAATAACGTATATTTGTTTCATTTTAACTTATTGCATTGTGTGTACTAGTTCAGAAAGTGCAGTAATAAAAAACAGATCTACTATATGAGTTATAGTAATGCTTTTATTTCAGTTTTGAAAGTAGACAATTTTTATACATAATTTTAATACATAATTTCGTTTTTAAATAATTATAATCTCGTTTTTCACACGAAAGATAAGAAGTTCTGGAAACGTACGGATCATTTCTAAGCAAAATCGTAAAGTTCATAACATGTTCCCAAGATTTATAAGGATTTACAAAGTTCTTAAAAAAGTACTAAAAAAAAACTTTGTGCAATATCTTTCAAACGGCTTCTTGCTAGCGTAAGATTTTACAAGATTTTTATTGTAAATATTTACAAATGATCGTACATCTTACATTACATATACTTAGAATTACAATACTAATCAAGTTCTTACAAGAAGTTTTACGAGAATAAGTTACAAGCCTTACAACTCTGCTAGAATTGACCCAATAATATTAGTAGATATAGGTATACACACACACACACGCGCGCGCGCACGCACACACACACACGCACGCACATATATATATAAGAATATAATTGAGCAATACTTTTGTAACATTGAGATTGATTTTACAAACGCTAAAGCATTTTAAAAACTTATTTCTCATAATGAATAGTACCATAAAATAATACTGCATTATTTCCAGTAAAAGCACATATTGTATGATGACATGTAACAATATTTTGAGAAATATTAATTATTTAGAGTGTTATATGGAAATGTTTTATAAATAGACGATTATTTTATCAAACACTTATCGATATTGCAATTTCTTGAATAAAACAACAGTCATCCGAGTTAAATACATATCTGTATATATTCGAATTCTGACAACTTCAATTAAAATTGTCACCAAAATTTAATTCCAGTCTTAACCACGATTAAACTTAAATTAACATGTTAATTATTTACGAATAATATGCAAGAGATTTATTGAAATTGAGTTGTGTTATTATTTAAAGAAATGTGCAAATTTAATCGAAATCTATAGCATGCTTTGTTTTGATACAAATTGCACAAATAATAAGAATTAAATTATTTGTAACAATAGTATTTAAAAAAATATAAATAATGAATATTAATTACTTGTAACATCTTAATCAAACTGTTTACCTGCTGAAAAGTCTAAGAACGACGCAAATGATGACGAACATTAATGCCATGCCAACAAGAACGCCGATCATCGCTGGATCGATGTACTGGAGGCTGGGTGATTCTTTGACCTCAGCTGAAAACAAATTCGTTGGTTTGCACGAGGGATCCCAGAACTAGAAGCTCGTAAATTAAATCCCACGTGCCCTAAAGGAATTGAAAGTCAAACGCGCACCATATTGATACGATGGAAGAGAGAACTCACAAGAAGAAGAAAATACTGTCAAGGGATCTATTACAACTGTCCGATTCTCCTTAAAATATATTGTTAAACAAAAATCCAAGACATAGGTATTATTTATATCTAATTTGAGATTTAAAGATTTGAGATTTAAAGAAACAAATCCTCAAAGCTTATATTTAATTCCAATCGATTATCAAGGAAACGAATGAGATATATAAAAAAATGTTTTATAACAAACTTTTATGGTTTTTTAAATATATTTTATAATTATATATCTACATTTTCCAAAAGCCTAATTATTTTAAACTTCCTGTCCGCACAATTAAGTTTTGAGAGGTTGTTTTATACTTTAAATCTCTCATTGAGCTGATATAAAAAAATACGCGAGATACTCTCAGATTTGTGTGTTTAACAATGTATTTCGAGAAAAATCGAATCAGTTCCGGACAGTTATAATTAAGTTCCTTGTGAGTACAAAGAATATATTTATTAAGAACTGTTTCTTCACTGACTTTATTGATTTAATATTTTTCTATTAATAATTTTAAGTAATTTTAATATTATTTTAAAAATTTGAATATTATTTGATGTTTATTGTTAAAAAATAGAAATGAAAATGCTATTTAGTAAAGAATATGAATTAAATAATCGCAAAAATCTCTTTTACTTTAAACAATTTTAATCGCAACGTGCCGTCTGTATAAGCATACAATGTTCTTTTAGAATGTTATATAAATATTCTTTATTCTTTTTAATATTTATATAATAGTCGATATCATGTCTTACAGAAGTACTTCTTATTTTTGTCTTTCCGTGTTTTCATGTAAGGAAAATATTCTTGGCATGCGAAAAATATGAAGCAGGTGAGAGAAGTTTGATTAATTCCATCGATTCCGTCTCTTTCAATTTTCACTAAACCATGTCGAAGTCGTGTCGGCATGACAAGATTTTCATTAAAGCTATCCTCAGTTCTTGAGAATTCCTTTCCTTACCTACGCAGATTATTACACCGTCCGCATGCATCATCGGGACTTTCTCGAAGAGGCAGATGCATCGACCATCGCGACATTCCGTTTGGATCACCCGCGCCTCGCATTGCTCATGGAAGAAACAGGACTCGTTCACATTCGCCGCTAAAATAATTTTTAGAATTCGTAAATTGTGGCATGTAAATGAGAAATTCTAAATATGCCATAAAAAAACAGAATTTAGAGAAATACTCTGAAACATAAACTATTTGTAAAATTGTCTACACAACAGACAAAACATTTCTTAAGTTTAATGTATATTCTAAGAATCAACAAATTTTAATATTATAAACTATTGTATTTATATCAGATAACATATAAGAATTTTTCTGCTAAACACGTTAAAGATTTTTTTCTTTTAATTTTTAATTATTCGTCAATTTATTAACGGAATAGAATTCATTTCTCATGCGCACTAATCTTGAGCTTCAGCATTAATTATGGTTTACTCGCAACGATAATCGACTTGTTTGATTGGGAGATTTGCACGGTTTACCATGTGATATCATGTACGAAATCGCTATTAATGGATATGGCAACTTAGCCAAGAAGGAAATAGAATTATTCTCGATCAAGATATCACCAGCCCATTTAACTAGTGCATTCGCGTATGGAAATTAATCCCACTGGCATATGCATCGCGCTATGCTGGTTTACTTCTCTTAAGTCAAATTCTTTTTATCTGCTAAACATTATTTCATACACATACTATATATAGCTACATTAATATTTTAACACAGCATTTTAGAGTTAATTTCTTTCGAATAACTATAATAATGCTGTCGTTAATAATGTTGACAGATGACATTTCATAATGCCATAGCTTAGAAATTCCAGGAAAGAGAAGCCATTTCAATTTTCTCCCTATGAATTGAGATTCCCTCTGGAGGTTTTCATATATTTCATATATACGATCGTAAAAGAGCCACGTGCAGAGAACTCTATATATAGATCCAGAATACCAGAAAGCATACCAACTTACCGTGTCCGCACTTGTCGATATGGTTCGTAGCTTCAAATTCTTCCTTGCAAGCGCACTTGTTCTTTTTTGGTTCACAATAGGAGCCAGCAAAGCCGCATTCTTTGTCCATCTGACAATCATCACCAAACTTTTTCGTGCCCCTATCGGATAGATCTGAAAAGATATGATAATTAAAGATAATAAGATATTTTAGATATTTTAGACATATTTATATTGCATGTTAAGCACTTCTAATAAGCACTGCTAGGGATCATATCTCACGTCATATTTCTGTTAAAAAGATATCAATCTCATATTCCATATTTCTCCTAGAAATTATAACTTGAGCTCACTTTAGACGATCTATAATAATTTGCGTCAGAATTCAGGATAATATTCTTTATATTTTTATGCAATATACGATAAACATTTAAAGAATTCAAGGATATATGTGAAATTTATATCAAAATACTCACATAAAAATATACAGCATATAAAATTATACAAAATTTTAGCCTAATACAAGATTTAGATATATATAAGCTCTAATTTGAATGAAATATCTCAAGATCGGATTATGAATACACAATTGAGTAATAAAAATTTCAACAGTCTAAGCTGAATCTTAGTGCTTAAATAATATTTTCGATGTGAATTTATATGTATCCAATTCTAAATTGCGCGCCAAAATTATTTTTAGTCTTGAAAAGCAATCATAAGCAAAACTGGGTTGTCTCTAATTTGGCTTTACAGCTATAAGTCGATATATAAATAAATAGAAAAATTTTCAATTTTTATTTTATTCCTTTGAGTTCATATTATGTTTATATAAATTTCAGATTTAAAAATTTTATCACTCAAAGAGTCGAAATGCGTCAGAATATTTTACGTAAACTCGGTCGTGGTAACCATGTAGATATTTTTCCAATATACACATATATATGTTCAAGTATGCGTGAAAAGATATATGTATACACTTGTAAAAAATGCAATAAAACTGGCAATATTACAAAAATTCTGTGCAAGTTCCAAAAATTCTTCTCAATTTATATATTTTCTCAATTTTTAGTAAAAATATTAATGACAGCTTTGTAGAAAGCTGATTAGCTCTTTCAGAGAAACCTGATTGCTGTATTGTCGATGAATAATGGCCCCTATCTAAGTTCCACCCTATGACATTTCAATAGAAAACCGAAGGACTCTTCTCTCTTGCATAATATATGCCGAAAAAATATTCGGAAAAGATTTTATAATCCTTGAGATCGTTAAAAGGAATAAAATGATTCTAACTCGCCGGAAGACAAACCCTTTTATCTTTGTCGTAAATTTCTCAAATGATGTTAATCTTACGGTGCGTGCGTCTCTCACTTTTACGTAAAAATGCAAATTAAATATAATACTAAATATTATCATGAAAATTTTTAATCTTCTTTCCGCTTCTCTTTTAATCCAGATTACTTTTAAATATTAATAGCAGTATTAATAAAGATTTCGAGAAATGTTGCACACGATATTTATATCCATTTCATTAATTCGGATCGCATAGAAACTGCATAAAGCTGCAAACAAGAACTATATGCATGGATTGCATATACTGTCTAGAAAGTTTACACATAGGTTGCTAGTTGGCCAACCGCGGAAATTTGATTAGTGCACAACACCGACTTCAATTATACAAACGTTTAGATTGATTTTCCTTCGTATTCTTATATGTATGCGATGCATAGACTCGTATGAGACAGGAAGGATCATTTTTATATAATAAAAGGATCATTTTATATATAATATAATATATATA